TCTAGGTGGAGGGTTTCTTTGTTGTGAAGGATTGTTACGAGCTTGACTGGCAGGTTGTGGAGTTGGTGCCATCATTAAGGGGATGGTATCATTTTGATTGGAGATTTGTTCAAGTGCCAAAGATGTTTCATGCTCATCAAGTTCCTCCTGAACAATGGGAGTTACTTGGCTTAGAAGGGGCTCTAAGACGTCATGCTCAATAGTACTTAAGTGAGGCATGGGAAAAAGTTCCATTAAGTGCTCCCCCTGTCTAGAATAGTTAGTTGGACGAGCAAAAAAAGGCATGTTTTCATCAAACTTTACATCTCTTGAGATCACCAATTTGTTTGTTGTGGGATTGTGACATCTATAACCTTTTTGAGTAGATGAATAACCCAGAAACATACACTTTGTAGCCTTCGAATCCAACTTGTCTCAATTAGGTGTTTGGACATGAACAAATCATGTGCAACCAAATACTCTTAAGTGTGATAGATTTAGAGATTTTCCTTTCAAAACTTCATGAGGTGATTTGAAATTCAAAACTCTACTTGGTAACCTATTAATGAGAGAGGCAGCAACAAGCACTCCTTGAGACCAAAACTTCTTTAGCACATTCATGTGAAACATAAGAGCCCTAGTTTTCTCAAGAAGGTCCCTATTTTTCTCAAGAATGTCCCTATTTTTTCTTTTGGCAATCCTATTTTGTTAGGGTGTTCCAACACAACTTATTTGATGTAGTATACCTTGTGTGATCAAATAGTCCTACATCTTCAATGTTGTTATCTGATCTTAAGATATGAATTTTGCGAAAAATGAGTAGTGACAAGTTTGTGAAAATCTTGGAAAACATCCATAACTTCACTCTTAAATTTCAAAAGGTACAAGCAAGTGATCTTTGTGAAATCATCCACAAAGGTTACAAAATATCTATATCCATCAAAAGACTTTAAAACTGGTCCCCAAATATCAGAATGCGCGATTTCAAAAAGATTACTAGCCCTAGACATAGAAGAAGTAAAGGGTAACCTAGCGAACTTAGACAAGTGACAAACATCACATTGGTTTACATTTTTGCATAGGTTTGGAAACAATGAGGTCAAGACCTTCTTAGATGGGTATGTTCTTGAGCTTGGCTTGTACTAACTTGAAGAAGCTTTGGGTACTTGGATATCCCTGGACACATAATAGAGACCATTTAAATAAAAACCTTCACCAATCTTCTTCTTAGTGACTAAATCCTGAAACACAATGTTGCAGGGAAAAAAAATGGCAAGACATTTGAGTGAGTTTGTGAGTTGTCCAACAAATAAAAGCTGGAAAGGAAATGACGAAACATAGAGAACATTTGACTCAACATTGTTGGATATCAAGTTTATTTTCCCTTTCCCTAGAAATGAAGCCCCTTATCCATTGGCAACTGACACATGAGAGGGTGTGGATATTGTTACAAAATTATATAGGTTTGTAACGTTATTCGTCATGTGATCAGAAGCACCTGAATCTACAATCCAATAATCATGTGCACTACTAACTAAGAGAGCAGTTGAAAAGGATTTCAGAATACCTGGGATCTCTTTGGAAGCAATGTTCTTATTCTCAGCTAGAAACCCTGCAAAATGCCTAAGTAGAGCTGTCTAATTTGAGGAACCTTCTTCACCATCTCTGACCCCTTGTTTCTTGTGAAGGAAGGCTGCAAACTCATTGATTAGAGTTACAGGATTGGAAGTGAATTTGGACAACTCATCTGAGGTGGCAGAAGCTGCGAGATTTGCTTTGTGAGGTGAACCATAAGTAGCCTTTGAGGGAGCCTTGTGATCTCTCAAGAATTTAGGCTTTAATTCTGGATAAAGAATCCAACACTTATCCCTTGAGTGACCACCATTGTTACATAGCTGCACTTCAGATCCCCTCGCTTGCCTTTGTAACTTCTTTCCTCAATAAACTTATAATTGGAGGCATAAACCCTCGTTTTAGGTAGGTTGGTTTTCACCTCCATGTTCATCACTTTTCAGGTATGGTAGATATAGAACAAGTGTGTTTAAGTCAAATACTTGGGCCCCAAGTTATTCTGACTTCTTGTTTTCAAAGGATAGTTGTAGATGGGTTAAGCCTACATTAAGTTCTTTTTTGTGCCTTGAGATCAAAGACTTTTATTATCTTGTATGCTTTAAAGGTTAGAAGTCCAGATCTGACCAAGCCATCGGTTTAGTTCCTGTTCAAACTTTTATAGCAGTAAAACTACTAAATGAACCAGATCTAAGTGCCAATGGAACCTTTGATCATCAAATGACTAGAAATGACTTGAATATATACTAGAGAGTACATCATAATACCAAATCTACTAATTGAAAGATAGAACAAAGAGAGTCGGGCAAGATTTCACCTTGTCGGGCAAGGGTGAACGTTTTGCAGTTTCTTCTCTTTATGATTACAAAGGTTTATATGTTAAAAGGGATAAGTGGTAAACAAGTTTACATGACGGAATCGATACTACAACATTTGGATAAGGTAGCAAAGCTTTTACACTGGACAAAAAATGACTTTCTAAGGAAAATATTGCTAAAAAGGGTTTGGAAGGTACGAACTGGCTTGAAAGCAGAGTTTGTATGCTTGTTTGTTTGATTGGTTGAGTGTTCTTGTCTCTAGGCCCTGTATTCCCTTTTATAGGCATTTTATCTTGGCTGTTGCAAGCTTTGCCCAAAAGCACTTAGTGAGTCATCATCTTTTTTACATGTTCTGCCATTCAAAAAGTACTTTTGGGCTGAGAGTTGGTTGATTTCAATTGGTTGTCACTTCCCTTGTAAGTGCTTAGCCTTTGCATTAATGAAGAGCCCACATATTGTCCTGAGATTGATGGATGGGCCTGGTGCTAGGCCTCAAGCAAGTTTCTTTCCTTTAGTTCTTCTGGGCTTTTTTTCTTTTAGGTTTAAATTTTAAATATTAACCAAACAGTGCCCCGTTCAATCATTGTTGAGCCTGCAAACTGAGGCATAAATAATGATTGAATAGCCGTCTCACATTAACCACTGTTGCAAGCCCCTACTCGGGACTCATGTTATTAACTGCAGCCGCTGCTCAATCAGACTCTTGCACTAACCCACGCCTTTCATCGTTAAATGATCCCTCACTATACTAATCCCAATTCATCTATCAGCCAAGTATCAAAATCTCTCTAAGCCTTTGAATTCCATAACTCACCAGAATTTACCAAAATTTTCTAGTATACTCTTGCTTTTCAATTCTTGCCCCTCTAATTACAATTTTCTTCCCATTTTTCTCTCGAAATCACCCAATAGTACCCAAGATTGTTGTACCCAATCTTCTTGTGAGATTGGTGAAGGGATTTCCACCATGCAATATGTGCTCAACGACCTTTATCGCCCTCGGGTAGGCCTATATACTTCTTTTTTCTTTGATGAAGGAGGAGTACACTCACTAGGACCTGCATGGATTTCTCAAGTATCAATTGTTGTTCGAAACAACATGCCTAAGGAGAAATCAGCTTTTATAATATCCCGGAAAAGCGCACTGCTTCCAGCCTCTGTTTTAGGACTTCTATGGCATTAAAGAATAGCTGAGTAGCCTTAATCGCACCGGTAGATTCCACTCATGCTGATATTGACAAGCTTAGACTTCCCCATAGCTTATGTTTTCTTGATCACTTCACCATTATAGGTTTATGCTTCAGGATCAACTACCATGACTTTTGTCGGTCAAAGTAACTTGGTCGGGCTTGTGGATGAAGGCTCAGAAGATTTAAAAAAGTTTAAGACAGCAAATGGAAGCCAGATATGCTGGCACATATTTAGCTAATAGTGACATTGTTTAGGAAGAGTCAGGTGAAATGTGGACCCAACATTCTAGGATAGCTGCCCTAGTCAAGGATGTAAAACTATTGAGCTAAATCTGATGTAATCTTCAACATATACTAAAATGAAAATGACTTCTTCAATTTACTTTGGCTTGCCTTCTTTTCTTGAGACCTAAATATAATGAGCCTAAAACTACCTTTAGATTCCATGTAATGCCTACACTTCTTCAATGTAACAATCTCTAATATCCCACAAGGTTGGGTGATATTTCTTTAAGAATTTAGCATTAATTGGATGCTTATGTATGCTTCCCTCCAAATTTGCCAAGTAATATCCCCCTTTGTCCAATACTTGGTGAATAATGAAAAGGCCTTCCCAAGTCGGGCTCCATTTCCCAAAACCTCTAACTTGATCTCCCAACGGGAGAATTGTCTTCCATACTAACTCTTCTTTTTTGAAGTTCTTCAACTTCATCTTTTTATTGTATGCTCGGGCAACAGCTTCATTCCCCTCTTGAATTTTATTTAGAGCCTCAATTCTGGCTATATCAAGATCTTCAACTCCTTGACACATAGTTTGAATATACTATTCACTGTGTAGCCCGAATTGATTTTGAATTCTGACAGAACTTACATTAATCTCCATAGGGAGCACGACATCTTGCTCGAAAGTTAAAGCATAAGGAGTAGTTTCAGTTGCTGCCCCCTTGAAAGTTCTGTAAGCTCACAAAATATCTCACAAATTCTCATGCCATTTTTCTGGACTCTCGGCCACCATTCTCTTAATAATGTTTACCAAGATCTTGTTGCTAGCTTCTACTTGGCCTTTTGACTGAGGGTAGTAAGGACTGGACTAAACCATCTCTATTTTGAACTTATTCGTAAGCTCCTCTACTTCTTTTGAAATAAAGGACGGCCTGCAGTCTGTGACAATTGTCTCGGGCACCCCAAATATGTGTAAGATCTTGGTTTCAATGAATTTCTTGACTGCAGTTGAAGTGATAGTCTTCACAGTTGAAGCTTCTACCCACTTGGTGAAGTAATCCGTCATTATGATTATGAACGTGTGTCATTTGCTAGAGGCTATGTGAATTTGCCCAATGAAGTCCATTGCCCATCATCCGAAGGGCCAAGGCTTGACCACGAGGTTTAAGGGTACCGAGGGCACATGTTGGAAAGGTCCATATCTCTAGCATTCTTCACATCCTTAGGCATAAGCTTTACAGTCCATTTCCATCTCAGGCCAGAAATAGCCATATCTTTTGAGCAACCACCTCATTTTATTTCTAGCTTGATGTGCACCACAGATTCCTTCATGTACTTCAGCCATTACCCTTATGGATTCTTCTTGGCCTAAACACTTCAGTAGAAGTCCATCTAGAGTCTTTCTCAACATGGTTTTATCCCAAATGACATACTTAGTCTTTTGTCGTCTATTTTTCTTGCTTGTGGGGAAGGATGGATTGTTTAAATACTGGATAATAGGCGTCCTCCAATCCTCCATCTTCATTTCTTCAGTTATTACATCTAGGCTGAATCCTTTTTCAAAGATAGAAGGAAGATTTCTTTTATGAACTTCTATATTCCCTTCAAAGTTTTTTTCTTGGATTGGTACTCCAGAAGCTAATTGTGCCATTTCATTGGCAATTATATTTGATTCTCTAGGGATGTAGCTGACTGATATTTCCGTGCCCCAATAACTCAACAACTGAGTGGCCGCTAAGTGATAACCAGCCATAGTGATGTGCCTACATTTGTATTCTCCATTTAACTGATTGATCACTAGTTTTGAATCACCAAATACCTCAACTCCAATTACCCCCAACTCTATCAAGATCTCCAGGCCAATTATCAATGCCTTATTCTCTGCCCGATTGTTGGTAGTCTCTTAATAGTTTAAGAAGAATGAGTAACAGTGGTGAGTACCTTTGGGATCAATGATGACAATCCCAGCTCTAGCAGCATTCTGAGTGCAGGACCCATCAAAATACAATTTCCTAGGAGTAATCCAAAAGTTGGTTATCATTTTTATCTCCTACTGGATCCATTCTTCCTTGCCCAAGAAGGCTTTGTTTGGCGGGATCCACATGCTGGCCACCTCCAGAGTTCCTGGGATGTTGATAATTTCTTGATAATTTCTTCTTGGGACTCTTGATGCTCAACTAAGAAGTCTGTGATTGCTTGTCCCTTAATCGCTCTTTGAGGCACGTGTTGGAAACTAAGCTCGGATAGTGCTAGGATCCATTTTCCAATCCTCCCAATCAACATTGGTTTTGATAACATGTATTTGATCACATCTATCTTGGCAATAATGGGGGTGTGGCAAGGTAACATATAATGTCTTAACTTGCAGGCAGTGAGGTATAGAGCCAAACATAACTGCTCTACTGGAGTATATCTCGTCTCTACCTCAATAAGGATTCTGCTGAGGTAGTATATGGCATGTTCCTTTCCACCTTCATTATTTTGAGCCAACAGGCTTCCCATTGACTTCTCAGAGGCGACAATATAAAGCTTTAAAGGCTTCCCTCTTTGAAGAGGTATGAGCACTAGTGGATAATCCAAGTAAGCTTTTATTCTGTCAAAAGCCTCTTGGTGGGATGGGCCCCACTCAAATTCTTCCTTGTCTTTCAATCTTAACAAATGAGTCAACAGCTGAATCTTGCCTGCCAAGTTAGCAATGAATCTCCTCAAGAAATTGATCTTTCCCAGCAGCCTTTGCAATTGCACTTTATTGGTGGAATGAGGTGTTTCCATCATTGCTCGAGCTTTATTTTTGTCGACCTCAACTCCCATTTGGTGAAAAGGAATCCCAAAAAGTTGCCTGATCTTACCCCAAAAGCATATTTCTTAGGGTTCATTTTTAATTTATGGATCCTCATTCTTGTCAAGGCTTGCCTGAGGTTTACTAAGTGATGCTCTTCAGTTTTAGACTTCACCACAATGTCATCAATGTATACCTTCATGATATGGTCGATTAAGTCATGAAAAATGGCATTCATTGCTCTTTGATAGGTTGCACCGACATTTTTTAGCCCGAATGGCATTACCAAGTATTCATACGCTCTGACATGACCCGAGCACCTAAAAGTTGTCTTATGTATATCTTCTTTAGCCATTTTTATCTGATTGTAACCAGTATTCCCATCCATGAAAGATAGAACTTTGTGTTTGGCAACTGCATCTACGGATAAGTCGGCCATGGGCATGGGATATTCGTCTTTAGGCGTGGCTCCATTAATGTTTCTATAGTCAACACAACATCGAACTTCTTTACTTATAGTTTTTAATACAGGTATAATGTTGACCAACCACTCGACATATTTGGCGGGCCTAATAAATCCAGTCTTCACCAGTCTCTCGATCTCTTCTTTGACCTTTTCTTCGATCCCTTTTGACATCCTCTGTGGTTCTTACTTGACAAGTTTAAATCCTTCCTTAATAAGCCTTCTATGTTCTACTAAGGTTGGATCTAAACCTGGCATTTCGGTGTAATGCCAACAAAACAGTCCTTGAATTCGTGCAAAATGCTGATAATCCTTGCCCGATCCTTGGTTTCTAACAAACCACTGATCTGTATAGGCCTTGAATCCTCCTTAGTTTCCAAATCAATGGTCTCCAATGGGTCTTGTACTTCTGAGGACGGCTTGTCAGGTTCTGCACACAAAAATTCAACCAACTCTGGATTTTCGGGCAAATCCTCTGGCCCATCCAGATCATATATGCACTCATCCATCTGTATGGCTGCTTCCAACTCAAAACACTCATCTTCTATTCTGCTGCTAGAGGCTTATTCTTCTTATTCCTTTTCTTTCCTGGTTGAACTCTCCCTCTCTTGCTTTCTTTCTTTCCCATACATCAACGGTCTTTTTATCAAAGACCTGACTGCAACCACTTGGTCCTTTCTTTTCTGTCCTGACATTATTGATGTTGGGGAGTTGGGATGATATGGGGTCGATCTCATTCTTCCCTTGTAAGAGATAACACTTGCTCTAGAAGCTTCTAGGCCGTCACCTTGGTCGGGCGACCGTTCTTATTAGCTCCTGAACATTGAAGAATCCCAACACTAGGATTGTAGAAATTGGCTTCTACCACGTTGGTTGTAAGGAGAAATGGCTGTGATTCGGCCTCTATTATCTCCTAAAATCCAAGTCTTGCTTCCCCTTCTTCATGGTAAATAACCACTTGTTAGTGTAAGGTAGATGGCACATAGAGACTCTGATGAATCCAATCTCTTTGTAGTAAAACTCAGTAAGTTGAAGTACTATCAACAACAAAAAAGGCAAGCATGATTTGTTTAGAACCCAAGTCAACTTCTAATGGCAGTATCCCATGAGTCCTAGTAATGGCTCCCGAGAAACTGGAAACTATAGGATCTGTGGAGATTAGATCATCCTTACTTCTGCATATTCTCTTTATCTACTTGTAAAGCAGTACATTGACGCAGCTCCACCATCAATCAAGACGTTCTTGAAGGGTATTCCCTTTAAATGAGTAGTTACATATATGGGTTTGAGATGGTTAGCCATGGACAAACTTGGGCGGCTGAAGATCATCATATCTGTATATATCATTTCGAGCTCTCTCCTTGCTAGTTCAAGCACATTCGTTTTGCTTGATTCACTTTTCCCTGTCTCTTTAACTCTAACATATGCCATCAGGGGTTCTATCGCCAAGTAGTCACCCTCCATCGTGGCAGCTTGATAGTGCTTGGGACAAAACATGGCGGATAAAACATATGTCATGTTTACGTGGAAGTTGCTGGGTCCAGGTAAGTATTTCTCCTTGGCTCGGATATGCTCTGCAAACTCATCCAACCAATCATGTGCTTTTTTTGGTAGCACTAGTTCGGGCAAACCTCCCTCATTTATACCAAAATTTTGCACTTGGTCCATATCTTCACAAAGGGTATCAACCAGCAATGGTGAGGGTATCCCTCTCTCGGGCGAGATAGTTCCAAAATAGATTGGCTCTGGGCTCCATCTTGGGGTTGGTATCATTATCATATCCTCTTGAGCCCTTCTCAGAATTATGTATTTCCCAGGATTGAGGCACTGCGGCACATGGTTTCTTTCCCCTTTAGTCTTGTTATTAGCTTTCTTCACCTCCTTCTTGGTTCTACAATGAAGTTAATTCCTTCCCCCATTGGGTACCTTCTCAAACTTTATATTCTCAGAGGTTTCTAAGGCAATAGGGACCTTCAATGAGTTCATGTGGGCTTTATGTTGCCTTTGGACTCTTCTAATCATAGAGGCTCTCATTTCCTTAATGGGCTTCCCATCCTTTCCAACCACATACCATTTCCGACCAAGTCGGGTAGGATTCTTCTTCGTAACTGGATTCACAGTTCTCCCCTTTACTTTAACATCTCCACCGGCATAGCTTGGTTAGGATGGCTTCGCATCCACGTATCTTGGTATCTTAGCCTCTCTATCCTCTACCTTTTCAGAAGCTTCATAATTTCTAAACACTTCTGACAAGCCCTTTGGTTGATAATCTCCTCCCAATCTTTGGAAAACATTCTTAGAGATCTATCTTTCAGCTGCCCGCATAACATTTTTTAAGGCCTATTAGTCTTCTTTTTCTCTTCTCTTGATTAACTCCTGATCAATAATAGCTCCTTACGCTAGGACTTCTAGCTCACACTGACATTGGCATCTACTACACAATACTACTCCTTTGATTATGGTCGCCTTGTGTTTCTCGGGCAACTTGATGGCTCCCTAACTTGGCATGTCAATTTGCCTCTGTTCTGCTTTCACCTCCCAGGTAGCTTTTCCTTTCCCATTCTCAGCCCACGTCAAGTATATCATGTTTATTGGGGCCCCTAGAAAAGGATTAGTATCAACCATCATATTAGCCTGCGGCTTTTCCAGCAACAGTTTTCCTTTGACAATAAGATCTTGTATCTAATCTCTAAACTAGACACAATTGGTTATGGAGTGATTGAAAGTGTAATACAGCTTACAATACTTTTTCCCTCTCAGTTCTTCAGGCTTGGGCAACTTTTTGGCTCTGTCGGGCACAATGACTCTTGCCCGAACCAGCTCGTCATAAATTTTTGCTACTTTGGTTAGATCAAATGAATAGCTTTGATACTTGGGGGGTTTCATTGGTACAAATCCACCTTCATTCATGACCACTTTCTGGCCTTTAACCGGCTTGACCAATCCCTTTACTGTTAAAGGCTTGAAAGGAATGGTCATCTCTGCTGCACACATATCAATTCCATCTATTCCACAACCATCATTTTCTTCCGGCTTCATCCCTTCGAACTCCATTTGATGAATGGCAGCCTTGTTTTTATAGAATGGGGGTACTTTAGAGGAATGTTTTGCTTATTGTTCCTCGATCAACAATTTTTCATATTTGGTGGCAGCAATCATTAGTTCTTGCAACTCATTAAACTACACATCATGAAACTTCTTCCTCAAGGGTAAACTCAAAGCCTTATAAGCAATAGCTATAAGCTGGACATGGTTGATAGGAAACTGGCATCTCATCCTTGTCTTCCTAAACCTCATCATGAAGTCCTTAGTAAATTTATGCTCATACTGCTTTACCTCAACCAGATCATTGATGGTCATCCCTAACTTCATCTTGTAAAACTACTCGTGGAAAGTTATCTCCATTTGCCTCCATTTAGCAATAGAATTTGGAAGCAAAAGAGAATACCACTGATATGCTAACCCCGTCAATGAATTCCCAAACAACCTTAACTTAATGTTAGGATTATCTTCAAATGCCACACAATGGTTGGAGAATTTGAAGATGTGGTCCCTGGAGGACACATTATTATCTTCCCTGCTGAATGTTGGGAATGAGAGCATCTTGAAGTTAGGAAGAAAGGGATTTTGCTCATCAACGAACTCCAGGTAAGGCTTCTGATAGGTAACCTAAATAGCAGACGTGCTTGTGGCTGAGCATTTCTCACCACCATCCTTCTTAACTCAGCCAACTCATCTTTGAGTTGCTGATCGGCTGTATTATTGGGCAGGGTATACAAAAGTCCCCACTTCGAGCTACGATCATTACCCAAGTTAATCTCCTTTCTTGCTTCGAGCTTCCTCCATTGGGCTTCTCCTCATTTACTGGCCAAGGGTGGTGGCCTATAAGGAGGAAGCTTGTCTGCCTTGGTAGGTTTCATTTTCCCGCTGGATTCCCCAATCAATTGAGGCATCCCATACTTCATCATTTCTTGCCCATTTTGCCCCCTATTGTTTAGTGAAAATAGGGGGTCGGGCAACTCCGCTTCCAAAATTTCTTCCAATACTGGTTGACTAACTCCAGATCCTTGTTTTTTTCTTGATTCCCATTTTCCTCCAGTAAAGGAAACAGAGGAATAACTGACTCCATCACAGGACTAGCTTCTCTAATCATCTTTCTAGTACGATTATTTTCTGAGGTAGAGTACTCCAGATCTAGCCTTCTTTGCAGATTTCCTGTTAGGGAACAGAGTCTACTTACTTCCCCTCTAATTTCTAGAGAGATTTTCTCCATGCTTCTTAATATAGTGACCATGGTAGCCTGTAGGTCTTTATTTGTGACATTTGCTCCTGATTTCTCAGAAGGAGTCGGGCTTTTTGTTAAGACAGGTCCTTGTAGATCTTTGGGAAGATTTGTCATGTTTGATCTTTGGCATATACTAGGGTGGTTTTTGCTCTGTTTGCACCTAAAGGTTTGCTCTTTCCTTCGTCTTCTTAGCACACAAGACTTATGATCCCACCAGGCGTGCCAAAGCTATGTTCAGGCAGGAATTTCCTTGGAGAAGACCCCTGACTCGAGCACACAGCTCCTCGAGGAGTTGGCACTTTAGTTGGTTGTTGGGCTCCTGCTTGTTAAGAAGCTACAAGAGGAGGACAAAGTTAGTTCTGAAAGGTGCCTTTGTAGGGCCTTAGGTGTAGGCCTTGAGGCTCGCAATCAAAACTAACTACGTGCTTAGGCAGATGTAGAACAAGTGTGTTTAAGTCGAATACTTGCGTCCTAAGTTATTCTAACTTCTTGTTATCAAAGGATTGTCGTAGATGGGTTAAGTCTACATTAAGTTCTTTTATGTGCCTTGAGATCAAGGACTTTTATTATCTTGTATGCTTTAAAGGTTAGAAGTCCAGATCTGACTAAGCCATCGGTCTAATTCCTGTTCAATCTTTTATGGCAGTAAAATTACTAAATGAACCAGATCTAAGTGCCAATGGAACCTTTGATCATCAAATGACTGGAAATGACTTGAATATATACTGTAGAGTACATCATAATACCATATCTACTAATTGAAAGATAAAACAAAGAGAGTCGAGCAAGATTTCACCTTGTCGGGCAAGGGTGAACGTCTTGCAGTTTCTTCTCTTTGTGATTACAAAGGTTTGTATGTTAAAATGGATAAGTGGTAAACAAGTTTACATGAGGGAATCAATACTACAGCATTTGGATAAGGTAGCAGAGCTTTTACACCGGACAAAAGATGACTTTCTAAGGGAACTATTGCTAAAAAGGGTTTGGAAGGTACGAACTGGCTTGAGAGCAAAGTTTGTATGCTTATTTGTTTGATTGGTTGAGTGTCCTTGTCTTTTGGCCCTATCTTCCCTTTTATAGGCATTTTATCTTGGTTGTTGCAAGCTTTGCCCGAAAGCACTAAGTGAGTCATCATCTTTTTTACATGTTCTGCCATTCAAAGTGTTTTTGGGCTGAGAGTAGGTTGATTTCCTTCGGTTGTCACTTCCCTTGTAAGCGCTTAGC